CCCGAGTCCACAGGGCAGACACATCATTCGATTCCTAACACACCATCGGATTTTTTGACCATGTCTTCGGATGAAAGCGACTCCCCTCCTCGCTCCACCGCACTCCGCGCGCCCACCCCTATCGCCCCTCCCGCGCATGATGGTGCCGGTGACACAAACGGCAGTGTCACGCCTGAGCCATTGGTGCAATCACCTACACCCGCTCAAATGGTGCTGCCATATCCATCGGGTACACAACAAACCCATTCCGATCCCTCTCCGCCCTCTGCTTCACCCCCTGCCACTACCATTTTGCCCGCTGCCATTTCACATCCTGTCGAACACAGTGAGCATGCAAACTCAGCCCCACTTGGCGAAGTCAGTGAGAATGAAACACACAATACAGCGGGCGAACACATTGAGAGTGAGCAAGATGTTCTTCTCAGCGATCCCGCTCCGCCCATCGCTGCCAACGTGCTGGATGCCCAGCGCAAGGTCCTGCTGAAGACATCTGGCCACAGGCAACTCCTCGCCTGCCCATTTGGGCTTTGCAAATGCAAGGGGCCCCGCCTTGACCGCAAAGCTTGGGTCAATCATGTACTACGCGAGCACCCCTACGACGAGCAAGCCACTGATCTGGTCAAGCAGGTGATGGAGGCCAAATTGGTCGCCCAGTGCAACAAGTGTCACCTCTTCTTCGAAGCTGCTGGTATCAGTCAACACCGCTCCCGATGTGGTGCCAATCTGAAGCGAGCGACCGAGGCGTTGTTTCATGCGGCTGGACACGACCTGCTTGAGATTATGCGTGGCGCTTGGCCCCAACAGTGTGTAGGGTCTCGCATCAGTGTCTGCGAGCTGCTCAAGCTCGCCCGGCATCCACTGATGCAGCGCAGCCGCTACCCATCCAACGCCACCGAGACCAAGCTGATGGCTGCCACCTTGAACCAGCTGTATTGGTCTGCCGTCCACTCGGACTATACCGCTGAAGAGCGAGAGATGTGCTGGGCTTTGATTTTGGCCTTGCCTAGCATGTTGTTGTCTGCTCCCTCGACCGCACTGTCTACGATTGACCTGCGCAATATGTTTCACGCT